TGCACTGCCCGACAGTTCAACCGTCGCTCTCGACGATGTCCATCACGAGCCTCAGCAAGCTGAAGGCAGACGCGGTGACTCCCGCGGGATTATAGTGAAAGTAGAATTGCGGAGAATGTAACTCAATCTCCCACCACGCCCACACCTGCACCCGATGTCAAGACAAAGTCTAGAGGACCAGATACGGGGGAGGGCGCAGGGAGTGTGCGCGAAACACGCTCCAAGACGCGCCATAACAACTCAACCTTGCTATGTAGGCTCCCGCCTGGGGGCGCCATAAAGGCTACATTAAGAAAGAGCCATTGAGCCTGACTCTCAGCCCACAGTGAGCCACTCCACACAACAAGACAAACTCGATTGACTGCAGTGTTTAAATTATTCCGTCAGTTGGCGACCCTCCAAGCCACTGCTTTTAGCGCACCGTGATAGCTTCATGCGCATCAGATTGTTTATAGTGATGAGGGTCGGCCTCACTCTCTTTCCCACTGCCAGTAACAGGCCGCCGCCTGACTGATCGGTACCCAGAGGTGAGATGGGCGCAGTGTTGAAAAGCAAAACAAGTCGGAAATAAGCATTGCAGAACAGGTTGTGTGAGGGAAGAGGAAAGAAAGAAGAGAGGGGGAGGGAGTGAGGGAGTGGAGAAGGAGGGAGAAAGAAGAAAGGACGAAAAACGAGAGAGAAAATAAGAAAGAGAACGAAAACAAGAAAGGAAACACAGCTTAGCTATCAGTGGTCAACCAAGAAATAATATGCACCTGACAGCTCAACCGTCGATTTCCTCGAGATCCACTTGTATGCCCCAAAGCATGGGGCCGCAGCGTCAGTGATATACGAGTAATTAGCTACGCGGGGCATATACAGGTGGTCAAAGTTCCCAATGACAACGAGTCACATTGAAGAGTCATCATCATCACGCCAAGCACTGCGAATGGTTATCACATTTCTACAACTAACGACTCGGACGTGGACTACTGATCAATCATCGCTTCATGTACGAACACAAGCGGTGAATGCGGTTATATTAATTGGATGAGGCACGTGGTTGCATGGTGACTGCGTTGCATTAATACTGCTCACGTCACAGGAATGTTATCGCTTTGTTGCCAGTCGCATGCGCAACCGAGACGACAGATCAAACCACTCCAGCCGCAAATTTTGGCGGGCGTTACCGCAAGTGAGGAACGTCTCGGAAGCCGTTAGGTGACCACTCACGGCACTCAGAGTTGGAGTTGCACTCCCGACCAGAAGCAACTATCCGGCACCAAATAATGAGGCCAAAAGTTCCACTGCCCCGGCAGGGGTCATTTGGAGTCGTTCACCGAATTTGGTGCATTTTCGAGCAAAGCGATGACGTCGGCGAGCCACCTTGTCGAGTCATCATCATCATCATCATCACGCCAAGCATCGTGAACGCTTATCTAATCTCGAAAATTAATGACTTGGACGTGGACTAACGAGCAATCAGCGCTTCATGTACGAACACCAGAGGGGAATATGGGATCTGTTAACTGGAGGAAACACGTGCCGGTATGGCGACTAAGTCCTATAAATGCCAAACTCCTGGCGCCCTCGTCACACTCGCCTGCGACCGGCTCTGCGGGTGGGTCTCAGAGAGAATACGAAACCGCAGGCTAATAAACGGCAGGTTCCAGCAATCGCTTCTTATTCTCCTCAATCACGATCCCCCAAACCATGCAGTTTTTCTGCTTACATTTAGCCCCCTCCACACGCATCTGATCCCTTTAGCACAAACTATTGTTCACCATATAGAACGTTAGAGGTTCCGGTTCCCCAAAAATATTTGATATAATGCTCAAAGTATAAAAATTGTATCTCACCTTTTGCTCTCACTCGGCATTTTTTAAATGAATGCTCAATAACTATTTGTAGGTTACTGGTCGTGATGGTCAGGGCTACAACTTCCAGCGGTACTCCAAGGTCGCGCTCATAGCTCGCAAGGCGCGCCCTGTTGTCGTAAGCTGTCCCGCGAAAATCGAAGTTGCCAGAGGCGCGACTGCAGCCATCACGTGTCTTGTCGACAGTGAGATTCCCTTCAAGGTCAACTGGTATCAGAGCGGACACCAGTTAACGGGATTTCCTGGAGAACATCAGACTTACAGGTGAATATTTAGCCAACCTAAAGAAAATCTCCTTAGCATTTGCCAAAAGATATATTAGACAAAAATACACGAAAAATCTTCTGAAATGTGACGTCCACAAGTTTACTCATACAGTCAAATCCAATGTCACAGCTGCCATACCTCCCATTTAGACTTTTTGCCGTCCTCTGTTGGCGAGATGAAACAAGATAGGTATCCTGGGTGCACGAAGTATCCAAACACTCGTTTACGAACGTTCACCGATGGCTAATGGAACTCACTCTTTCCTCTCTCCTTGAGTCTCATTCTCAGGCCCTGGCAGAAGCCGCGCATCGGTTTGTAGTTTAGACAGGTAGTATTGTCGGCAAAGACAAGGGTGACTAGAAGGGCCATTTCTGGCTTATTAGCCGTCGTCAGCCAGACATACCCAAACCCGAGGCGCGAACTCCCGAAGCAGTACTATCTGCGCTGACTACCAGCAGCTGTGCGGCTGCTGTCGGGGCCCGAGAAGGAGATCCAAGGCAGAGCCGGACTAGTGGGTTCCGTTAGCGATTGGTGAACGTTCATCAACGAGTGTCAATATCTCCCGAGATAAACAGACAAGAGAAAGAACACGTTGCTTAACAGTTAGAGCGTCTGACTTCTGATCAAAAAGGTCGTTAGTTCGAGCCTCAAGTGGTGCACCGCTTGGCGTTGGGTACGACTGGCTGACGACGGCTAATAAGCTAGAAATGGCCATTCCAGTCTCCTTGGTCTTTGCCGGCAATACTGACCGACTAGATATCCAACCAGCCACACAATTGCCGAATAGGTCCTTAAACACTGAGTTTAAGGCCAAAATAAAACATTTTGCGATCGATAAATCCACGAAGAGGCAGCATGAAAATCGATGACCATCTTTTGTGGAGCTATGTCGCGCCGAATACACTTGAAAGTTAGAATAAGAGCAGGGTCAGTTTTAACGTATCTTTAAATCCATTTTTGTTTTCGAGTCGTTTTCAATAAGCCTGTATTACCCTAATTTCCGAACAGTGAACCTGGATGCCAATGAAAAACGGTACTCACACACACGATCTTACTACTTACTTGTAACGGCATTCACCTCGGGCGGGTTGAGCCGGCATCAGTTTT